ACTAATAATATATAATTGTTTAGGTCTTCAATTTAATTTGTTAAAAAAATAAAAGGAGAGAATATGATTGGAATCAAAACACCATTTATTGGTTAAAAATTGGTACAATTTTTATTGAGCACTCAACTATTTGAACCACATTCTTATCATGTAACTTTTATGCTGAGAAACACCATTTATTGTTTAAAAATTGGTACAATTTTTATTTATTTATTATTTGTCAAAACATTAAAAGTAAGAGTACTAGTGAAACAAATCGAACCCCAATCATCTCACAAAAAAAGTAAGCACTCAACCATTTGAGCTAGTAGCTTATCGTATAGCATTTATGCATTAACATTTATATATATTTAATATAAAATCTTCCTTTAATCTTTTTTCTCGACAGCCAACACGAGCGGTCGCCCCCGACTCGTCGGGTGCTGGATCCGGCCCTGTTGGTATATGATATGTAAGGGAACGAGACATTGATGAATTTTGAACTATATTGAAGTTCAATGTCTAGAATGAAACAAGTTAATGTTTAATAACCCAATTGAGAGTTTGCTAGAAATTCAATGACCACATATGAAATTTACCCCATTTTGGAATTTTCCAAGAAATTGCATTATAAGATAAATGATTTACCTTTCTAGAAAGAATGAAGGAAGTAAAGAATCTTCCAAAAAATAAAATTGTCTTTTGTGTTTGACAATAATAATGGGGGGGTGGGCACCGCCCATTCCATTCAATTATATACCATAATAATTTTCCTCCCACTTTCCTTTTCTTCTTCTTGTTCTTCATCCTACATTGGCAGCTGCAAATACCCAAATTCAGAATAAAATGAATGGTTCTAAGTTTGAAGATAATGGTTTTCCTCGAAGCCCTTTAACGTGTAGTAATAGTTCATTTGAAAAATCCTCATCTGAACCTGTCAGCTCCTCTTCTTCAGTTGATTCTTCTCCTGCCTTCACATCAAGTATGTAATTTCTAAATTAGGCACTCTTTATGTTGTTCCGTGTTTCTTGTCGGAAAAAAAATAGAAAAAATCTAATATTTTTTCTTTGAAATGCAGTTAAAGGGAAGCCCCCAACTGGGAGGAATCACCATAAGAAGTTGGAAAGAAAGGCTAACAGTTTAGCTTACAGAATCCGCGAACACGGTAACATAATCTTTTGGCATATTTGGTATGCAGTATTACAATAATCTGGTTAACATCAAAATTGGTAAAATGAAATGGTTGAATATTTGAAAAATGAGATTATTTAGGAATACATGGAAATTACTTATTGATTTGTAGTAGTAGATCCATAATCAGAAAGTGTGAGATTTTCCAAGAACAAATAGCTAATACGTTCTACTTATTGGTTTTATGTATTAAGACTTGGAATTCTATTTTAAATGCTCGTTTGACATTCTTAATTTATTATAATTTGTTACAGGACCATTTTCAATCAAAAATTAACACCATAAAATATTCTACACGTATACAAAAAAATTTTCTTCTTGTAATGAGGAGTAACCAAACCCTTATACATTGTTCTTTGTTCTGTCCTTGCAAGATGGTGCTCTTTTGAGCACACCAATCTTGAAACCTGATGCTTATTTGAGCTTTTAAATGGATTGAATTGCTTGTTTGAACTTAATGGATCGTGATACCATATTAAAGACATGGGGTCCCATCTTACATTGTCAACCTAATAGCTATAACTCAAACTCTTATATATTGGTTAATATTTTTATATTTCATTGATGAGGAATTTATCCCTTAACACTGTGCAGTCGACTTTATCAAATTAAGCCCCTGTTTGACGTACTTTATTTCAAAACTCTTTTTTCTACATATTCATTTTCAATTACACATTCAAACAATAAAATATTATGCGCGTAAACCCGAAACTTTACCCCTACGTTTTAACCATACATTATCTAAAAATTCACTATACAAAACATTGAAACTCCCAAATAATGGCCATCAAACAAGGGCTAAGTGTAACAGTTTTGCATCCATTCGTATAAATGCGGGAGTCATGATCTGTATATAGATAGATATGTGGAATTAATTACATTTTATCAATGTTGAGTTTGCAGTTAGATTGGGGCCTAAATTATCTGAAACAGTAAAGGGGAAGCTGAGTGTTGGGGCCCAAATTATTAAGAAAGGAGGCAGACCGAATATATTTAGGGAAATATTTGGTGTTATTGAGGGAGAGAAGTTGTTGAAGGCATCCCAGTGCTATTTATCAACAACAGCTGGTCCAATTGCAGGGATTCTTTTCATTTCCACAGAAAAAATTGCATTTTGCAGTGAAAGACCCATTACCCTTCACTTGTCTTCTGGAAGCCTTTACAGGACTCCTTACAAGGTAAATTTTCCAACCCCTAATTAGTGATTTCGATTATGCAAGAATTAGATAGCACTCGAAAGTATTGAAGAAGAAAGAGAAGTTAAAATCTTATCTATTATAATGTTTAGTCATATTCGATAGGTTTCGTGTTGTTTATGTACCATGATTAATCAGTCTTATCCTTCGAAAATGGAAGAAATTTATGTTCGGAACTTACTTATGGTTGGAGGGTTGTTTAAATTCTAACTTAGAATGTGATGAATACAAGTCTTGTTATCTAGAAAGGTTTCTATTTTGAAATAAATCAAGCGGTAGTCTTTGAAGACTCCTTTGTTTGTTGACAACGCTATCCTCGGGCTAGGAACTTTGTCATCCTAATTACACTATATTTCTTAATCCCATCTATCTAAAACCTTCCAGAAAGACATCTTTCACATTTTTGACCCACTCTACCATTCAATGTGCTGTCGATTATGACCTACTATCGAAACTTGTATAATTAAAGTGATTAGTGTTACGATCTTAATTTTACTTTTGAAGATAGCTATTTTTTAATTGTTTTTATTTTACCAGCAATATTTTATTTTATTTTGAAAGAGTCAAGATAGTTATTGGAATCATGGGAGCATATTATGTAGTAGTAGTAGTAGTGGGATGGTCTATCTATATACTAGAAATTAGTGTGGTTATCTTGTATATCATATATCTCTATTTAAGGAGTGTAAAATAATTGAAAGGTGAAGAAGAATACATTGGCATTATATGCTTTTGGAGGTCAAGTTCCTCGAAAACTCAAAATGGAGGTCAAGGCTCCCTCGAGTGAGCCTAAATAATCTTCTGATTTTTAATTTAGATACACAGTCATCTCATCTACATATGTGAAAATATAATGAAGGGGGCAAAATCCTGACCTCTAGTCGAAGTCTGAAAGCAATAAATGAGGAGTCACTTCTTTGTAAATGTGAAAAATGAAACAATAAAGCCTAAAAGCCCCTGAACTTGGGGAGATCGTATCTGTGTACGAGGGTGTGAATCGTCAAGGCAGGTCTAGAGAACCATACTCCTGAATGTAGAAGTACAAAGGATTTACATAATAAAAAGTTACCATGTTGGTTAACTGTATTCTAAAACATGAAAAATACATTGGCTTATCAAATTACGCATTGAGCATATGTCAACTGGCAATGATACATCTATCTAACTGAAGTCCTCAATTTTTGCAGCTTTCTGTTCCGGTGAAAAAGATAAAAAGAGCTAACGAAAGTGAGAACATCGACAATCCTGCACAGAAGTACATAGAAATCGTCACGGAAGACGACTTTGAGTTTTGGTTTATGGGATTTGTTAGGTNNNNTTTTGGTTTATGGGATTTGTTAGGTATGAAAAAGCCTTTATGAATCTGCAGAAGGCCATTTCTTCGTCCCAATGCATGTAAAATTTCTCCTTCAACACAGCAAATAGAAAATTTGACCTTTTTCTTTTAGTTTTTACTGTTGCTTTTAGGAATCTCAGGGAATTACAGAAACTTGTGCAAAACTTTTTTCTCATGTAGTAATTTGTAGTTTGAGGTGGTAGTTTTCGTATAATATATTTGTATTCTGAAATTTGGTGAGGATTAAAATTAGATTTTTAGTAGATTTTGATAAAAGTTAATGAAATGTGTGGTTGAAAATTTGTGGGATCAATGAAATATGCGGTTAAAATTGATTATTGATTTTGACTTAGATTAAAATTTTAATTTTGATCACTGCCAAACAGAAGCCTAATTTTTTAATTTGTGCAAGACAAGTCAAGTATCGAGCTACATAAATTATTAATGATTTTACTGTTTTCTCTCTCCTTTTTTTTTAATATATTTTTTGCCGTACCAAATAAAAGCCTTATTTGTTAAGAACGTGTTTGGTTGTGCTTTTTAAATGTGGCTTCTCCCAAAGAGTATGAATGAAGGATCATACGCTGAGAGAAGCCACATAATAGCTCGTACAAAATAAGCATAGCCAAGCGTGTTCTTAATTATCGACATTCTACAAGAAAATTAGATTAAAAAGAGAAAAATAAATAATTTCACACTTGCTGGATTTTTCTAATACAAGCAATATTTATCTTATTGTAGCTCGATCGAAACTGACATATGGATACAGTACAAAAAAGATATTCTAGTATAGTATATTGCAAATCCAGCATCCTAACTAAGGATTCGGAATAATTAACAAAACTTAAGAATTAGAGGAATTATTCTTTTAATTTTCCTCATTTTAATTTGTACAAATACATATAAATGCTATAGGTACATCAGGGTTTACACCTTAGTGTACATAATGGCCGAGTCATATTTCATCACTGGCTAGTGAAAAAAAAAAAAAAAAGAAGCTTTTTCCATTAGCCAATGATGAAATGCCACTTGGACATTATCTACACTAGGATGTAAACTCTGATGTACACGTAGAATAATCCAATAATAAATAGCATTTTCCTTGAATCAAATGCTTCCAGGGGGTCTTGGATCATGGTGATTATTGGCACCAGTACCTGGATAGTCACTGGTTTCAATATCCATTCTTCTTTCTCTAAATAATTCTCTCTCCTCTCTGATCCCCAGTGAAAGCTACGCCACATTTAAATTACCAAACTAAGCAGAAAATCCAAAAACAATAATACTAAGAAAAGGGGAACTAATATAATAATGTTATTTATCATTATGATGATAAAACATCGGTGAAGTGACAGTTTACGTGGAATTATGGGATTGGACGGTTCAATTTTTCAGAGAGAGAGAGAGAAATGTGAGGGATAATGAGTTTTCATATTATCGTCGTTCTATCATCATTATGATAAATAGCATTACTCAATAGAATATGAATGGATAGGAAGAAGAACCTGAAAATGATGATGTAAATCTCGGCTGGACAAATACTGAACGTGATCTGTGATTGAGCTGAGGCCTCCTGCATTAAGATTTAAGAGCAATATATATAAGAGGAAGATCGATCATATAGGCATATATATCATAAGAAGATTATGAAATATCGTGGCTTACTCGATGATGATACCGATGGACGAATCAAGAAAGCTGAGAAGAATAGGAACAGCCAAAGAAGAGCCTTCGTCTTCTCCATGTTAATATAGTGAAGTATCAATGGAGGTGACTGTTAAACTGAATAATTTATCATATATATACACACACACCAGCTATATATACTCACAAATATTGTTGAGGAGTGAATTGAAGATAGAAAGAATTAGGCTTATACGTTCGGTCTTTAATGTGAAAAAGGTATCTACGCTTCAAAATTTTGCATTTTCACTTTTATTTCCATGTGAAAATGTCATTTCCATCATTTTTTTTATCCAATTTGCCAATAAAAACATATGAAATGACGAATATAATCTCATATTTAAATAAAAAAAAAATGAAGAACTAATTGCAATCATATCCCTAATTTTTTTAAAAAAGTGCAAACCAGTCCACAACAAATTATTTAAAAACAAAAATTTCATTTGCACTTTTTTAATAATATATTTTGAATTTGTTATTTTGAAGAGAGAGGGATGGAGATATTTTTATTTTGAATTTTTTAATAATTTATTTTGAATTCAATTGCACTTTTTAAAAAGGTTTCGAAATATGGTTGCAAATAGTTTTTTATTTTTTCTTTTTGTTTTATTTAAATATAAAGATATATTCGCCATTTCATATGTTTTTATTGAGAAATTGGATAAGAATTGATGAAAATGATGTTTTCCATCAAGAAACGTAGAAACAAGGATGAAAATGTAAAAATTTAAAATGTAAGAACGTTTTGTGCAAACAAGCCAAATAATTAAAGTCTATATATAGGTGGGGGGTTACCTAACATTATCTTCGTATGGTCCTCATCTCTTAATATTTGGAGTTAGTGCTAAGTGCAAGACACATCCACCACCCACCATTCATCTTTGATTGATTGAAAAGCAATCGTCCCTCCATGTCTCTATGATTGTCTCACGGGGGCGATGCAACGCGCCAAAATACAATCATGTCACCTAGTCATCAGAAGGAATTCTGCCATCAGTTTTATTACTCCCGAAAAAATTATATAAACCGATGAAAACAACTGATGTAGAACTTCCCACCTCATGTGTCTTAGTCATGCATAGAAGTGGACAATAATGGAAAGAAGGAAAAGTGTACATCAGAAACATAATCGAAGGTGCCTTAGAGAATTTCCAAGACCTTTGTGGTTGAATCCACTTGCAATTCCATGCTCCAAATCCTGCATTTGTTGCACTCCTATGGTCAAGAACTCAATCACGATGGAAGGAATCCATTTGCCACAACCCAAGTGCCAGGTTTGGTGAAAATTTCAATTTAGATTTTTTTTTTTTTGGGTACCCAAGAATAGCTTATTTTCTGCCATCTTGTGAAAAATGGTGAGAGGTTATAGGAGGTTGACGGATGCTGAGGGTTTGAATAAAAATTTCAAACTATTTCCTCCATTCCATTCCATAGAATATTGTCGGGTCAACCCACATGGATGACCTGAATCCGTTTTCGAACAAGAATATGGCTCATATATTTTTTTCCTTCCTCAATTATGCAAGGATTGAGGTCGAGCTTAAAATAGTCCACACATGGGCTTAATATTATATGACCCATCTTGTGACACAACTTTATAAAATCCCCTTTTGATTCGATTTAAAATTTAAATTAAAATCCGAGTCAAAATTAATAATTGATTTTATTAATACATTTTATAGGATTCATAACTTTTCAACCACATATTCCATCAACATTTAATAAAATATGCTAAAAATATGATTTTTATCTACACCAGAACATGGACTAAATAAACAAAGAATACAACTCATCTGAGTAGAACTAACAAACATAATATGCTGAGTAGAAGTTACATGACGTAATTTTACTAAATTGAAAAGTGACACGGATACAACTCATCTCAAAGTTGGATGTCCCACATAACATATAGAGTTTTTCCATTTGTACAGGGGAGGTTGATAGCCTTTCACATGAGCACGGACTAGCGTGAATAAGAAATTCCAAAAAAAAAAAAAGTGGGCCTTCCTTATTGTAAGTGTAGTTACCAGTCGCATGTTTCAAGATTAGACGTCAATCCAATCATGGTAAAAGTGAAAAACTATCACAAATTACTTATTACATGATCTTGCATTCTGCCGTGGGATTTTCTTCAATATAATAAACACACTTTCCCAGGTGGCGACTCCTCTCACAACCACAGCCATATTTACATTCATGCCCATACCCATAACCATAATAACTGTCGCAACACAATGGCGGAGCTGGGTACCAATGGCAGCAGCATGGTGGAGGTGGCAGGCAGCATGGTGGACGCGGTGGGCAGCATGGTGGAGGCGGCGGTGGAGGAGGCGGCGGTGGAGGAGGAGGCGGTGGAGGCGGCGGTGGAGGAGGCGGTGGAGGCGGAGGTGGTGGTGGAGGTGGTATTACAATACACTTGATAACCTTTCGACCTTTGCAGTACAATTTGTCACGAATTTTTTTGGGGTTGCAGCATACTACATTGATTGTCACTGTATTTTGCTTGAAATCATATTTCTGCCCTTTAATTTCTTTTGTTCCAATAAGTTTTACACGGAAGAATATAAGTCAGTTCTTATCTAAACCAGAAAATATATAATATTTGTTCTTGTTCAATCATAACATGACTTACCAGGAAATTTGCAAAGAATTGATTTGATTTTCTTGTAGCAGCAAGGACATTGGAGATCAACCTTCAGCACCATCTCAGTAACCTGATTGGACAAAATTGATGAAGATGCTGAATGGAAGACAAAAGCAGTAGCTTCAAAAATGAAATATGAATAATATTTTGTGAAGAAAAATCCCAAGCCATGTTCATATAATAGAAGTAGACATAAACACACAGCTTAAAAATATTCTTACCTTCTCAGCCATGAGTAGATATATTCAGAAAAATAAGTTGATGCTAGGGATGATTAAATATGAAGAAATAGACTTCGGATGGAGAGAGAGTGAACAATAATATTGTACCATGTTGATAGAATATGAAACATTTCATTGTCACCAACACAAATTTAGCTTCCATTTTTTCAACATTTTTAGATAAAATTGTACCGTTGAAAGGCCCCAATTGGCCATTTTTTTTAACTCACAACTCACACTTTCCTTGAATAACACGTTCCAACAATAAAATTTCACATTCTCCTACTTGGAATAATGTCATCCAAACAGAGGCTTGTATATAATTAGGATCCATTTGGCAGGATTTTTTTAATTCAAAAGTTACTTTTGAAACTAAGGTCCATTTGATTGACAAATGTGGACAGGCTTTCTAATTCCATATAAATTGGAAAATAAAAACCCATAGGATTTTCCAAGAAATTGACAAAAAAAAACTTAGGCCGTGTTTGATAGACCACATTTTCCAGGGAAGTATGAAAATATTTTTCACTTTCCACTTTTTTGACCGTTTGATAGGCGAAATTTTCCACGGGGAAAATATTTTCCGGATTTTCCC